GCGATCATGTTAGAAATGAACTCTATTATACCAATAGAACATAATGAAGAAACTGACGTAAACACTTCTCAATATTCATAAAACAATAAAATGTGATATGTCTAGTAACTATCATTTTTAATATTTACAATTATCATTTGTTATTTTTATTTATTCTTGTTCATTTTATTATTATTATTCAATTTTGATTTATTAATATATTTCATTATATTTATTCTTTCATTATTTTATTAATGTAGTTGAGTTATTCTTATTTTGTATAATTTGATATATTTCATTACACTCATTTTACTACTTCTTTTACAACATGTTTTATACGATATCTTCTAAACTCAATTCTTATTCATTTTCATCATTTCTTCTTTCATCATTTTCAATTCATATTTCATTTATTGATATAATTATTTCAAAGAAATTTTTATTTCTTATTTACATTGTTCACTCTCTTATTTCTTCTTTATTCATGTATATTCTATCTTTAATTAATGTTTTGGAATTTATATTTACTTTCTGTTTATTCTTTATAATATGTAGTTCAATTTGATCTAATTTATTGTTTGTAAATGTAACACAGACACAAAATATCTGTTTATCTAAATTTACTTCAATACTATTTCTATTGTTGTAATTTAAATTAATTTCATTAATTTTATTGCTGTTGTCTATTTTATCCATCATATCTTTTTCTGTTTTATTGTTCAGTTTCACTTTATCATTCTTCTTATATTTGAAGATAAACAGGTATTTGTATGAACTAGAATCATTTAAAATTGTAATTTCATTTCATATTATCATTGACTGTAATACTTCTTTTCATAATTATCAAACATTTCTTATTATTTACTTCACTCTCTGTTCATTTAATTCATTCATTTTATTTTGATGTAATACTTCAATTAACTTATTCAAGTTACACATAGTTTTTAAATCTTCCTTGTATAAAGAGTATTTTACTTTGTGTGAATTAATATCAATAGGATTTAATCATCTGATAGTTCAATAAATAATAAAAAAACTATAAATTTAAAAATTCTTAAAAAACAATAAAAATATAATGCAAAATCCTTCTCATCATGAACAACAAAAAAGTGATCATTTTTCACTTCAAAAAGTACATGAAAAACACAAAGCCCAACCCAAAAAACACGAAAGAGAAATAAAGAAAAAACAATTTTATAACCCAGTTGAAATAAATGAAAAAGATACACAAGAATTTCATTGGGAAAAAGAAGTTTTAGGAAAACATGTGACAGTAATTAATAATGAATTTACTGATGAAATTACAAAGATATTAGACGCAAATGGGATAAAAGAACTTTATCCAATGCAAAAAATTGTTCAGCAATTTATTTTTAGTACTGATACCGATATTGCTGTTCGTGCTCCAACAGGAAGTGGAAAAACGTTAGCATATACCTTACCATTATTAAAACTAATTAATCCATTATTCAACCATATTCAAGTAGTTATATTAATTCCAACTCTTCCATTAGCACTTCAAGTGTCAAATGTTATGAAACCTTTATTAAAAACAATAAATTGTAATTTAGTATGTTTAGGAGAATCTAGTATCGAAAAAGAAACATCATGTAATAGTCATGTTATTGTAACTACTCCAATTAGACTATTAAATCATTTGTCTAAATCAACACTAGACTTAAAATGGTTACAATATTTAATTTATGATGAAACTGATAAATTATTAACAATTCCTGCATTATTTCCATTGTTAAATATAATAAAAAAACAATATATTTCTCCACAATATATGGTTGATATTAAAACTGGAAAAAGTTTAAATGTATTTTCATCAAGTACAAATCAATTTAGATCATTGTTATTTAGTGCTACGTTATCATCATCTCCTAAAGCATTTAAACAATTACAAATGAATAAACCATTATTATTAACATTTGATGATTCATTTGTTAGAGATATTAATGAAATAACACAAACAAAATATGTATTACCATCAACAATTGAAAATAGATATACACCAGTTCTTCCTATTGAAAAAGATCTTGTTGTTTTAGAATTACTTAAAACATCAGGAAAAAGTATTATATTTTGTAATAGTAATAACACTGCTTTTGTCTTATTTAGATTAATTCAAGAAATGGCAGAATTTATTGGAAAAGAAAAAAAAGAAATTGGATGTATTATCTCGTCAATGAAACAAAAAGAAAAATTAAAAGTAATTAAAAGAGTAGAAAATGATTCCATTAATGTATTTATTACAACTGATGTAATGTCTCGTGGTATTGATATTAAAGGACTTAAAACTGTTATTAATTTTGATTGTCCTGTTTCAACACAATTATATGTTCATAGAGCTGGAAGAACTGGAAGAGCTGGAAATGAAGGTATTTGTCATACGATAGTATTAACAAATGAAGTTGGTAATTTAAAAGGTTATTTAAAGAAAATGAATAATGAACTTCATAAAGTTTCAGTTATAGTTGAAGAGTCTTTAATAAAATCATATAATAAAATAACAAAATTATTAGAAGAAAATCCTTCTACTCTTCAACCTGAAAAACAAAAAAAACATATTTAAACTAATTGATTTTTTTTTTTGTTTTTAAAAAATAAAAAAGAATAATAAAATGAATTACAATTTCATAAAAGCATCAAGAACTTCATTTTTAAATTGAGTAATTATAAAAGGAAGTTCATTTTTGAATTGAGACAAATGAATATCAACATTAATAATTTTATTATCTAAATTATTAATTTTATTTTCTAAATCAGTTATTTTCATTGGAATACCTTCACTAATAGTATTATTAAAGTTATAAACTTTACTTCTTCTTTCAATTTCATCAATTAATTCCATTCTTAAAATTTCAAAATGACAAGGAACCATTTCACAAACAGCATTTTTAGCTTTACTTAGTTCAAACCTTAATAATGCCATAACTTTATTTTCTAATTCAGGGTCTAAAGAAGATTTTGTTGTTGATGTAAATTGTCCATGAAGAATTTTAGAAGATTGTTTTGAAAATCTCTTTTGTTTCATTGGAAATTTTCTAAGTGATTCTTTACGGGATGAATGTGGAGATGAAATTCCTCTTTGAATAATAGTTGATTGTGGAGAATTTGTTGTATGTAATTTATCAGGTGATATTGTTGAGTTTAATTGAGTTGATAAATTTTGAGGAAGTTGTTTAGTTTGTTGTAAAGGAAGGATATTAGAATTTGGTTTAACTAAAGGAGTTGAAGTAACATTAGGAGTTTTTGGAGTTATTAAAATATGATTAGAAAGATTAGGTTCTAATTCATTAAGTTTAGAATGATTAATATCAAGAGGAGAAGTAGTAATATTTACATTCAATCCAGTTTGTTTTTTAAATTGAAATTGAGTATTTAAAGAATTATTTGAAGAAGAATTTGTTGTAGGACTTTCTGTTTTTTTTTCAATTTTAATACTAGACATGTGAAGAGGAATAGTATCACAACAAGACATTTTAGGTGAAATTTTATTAATTTCATTATTAAATAATTTTATTTTTTCATCAGAAGTATCATTTTTTTCTAATTGTCTTTGTAAAGGTTTACTATCAATTTCTTTACTACTATTTACACTTCTTTTTTTTAATGATTTACTTTCAAATGAATTAAATTTATTTGTTGGTCCACTTAAAGTGACACTTTTTTTTGTTTTACTTTTTAATGAAATAAGGTCTTTATCAATAGAGTTTAAACTTAATGAATTTTCATCTTTTTTTAATGTTTTCTTTCTTGGACTTATAATTTCTTTGGGAATTTTAACACTTAAATTAAAATTCTTTTTTAATTCTTTTTTATTTGGTCTATTTGGTGTTCTTGGATTGAAATCTTCTAAATGAGGTGAGTTTTCTCTTGATACTTCTCTTGATGATTCTGTTGATTCAATACTTTTTATTGGTACAAATACTCCACATGGAGAAATATCTCCATCAGTACTTTCAAGTGTTGTATCATACATTTCTTTTAGTCTTTCATCAATAGCTGTATTAACCATATTTTCAACTACTTCTTTTGTCCATCCATTAATTAATGTTTTATAATTATCAATTTCTTTTAATTTTTTTTCAGTAGTTTCTTTTATATTTAAAGTTGTATTTTCTTCTAAACTTAATACTTTTTCATTAAGAATTTGAATATCATTTTTTAATTTTTCAATTGCTTTAAATTGTTCATTAATTAATTCTGTATTTTCAGGTAAACATTCTGTTGATCCAGCTAAAGTATTATCAGGATATGTTCCAATAACATCTGTTTGATTTTGTTGTTTTATTGTTGTAGAATAAAATGAACGTACTTGTGTTTTACTTATATCATCTTTATCTAAATATTTAATAGCAAATTTATTATCAGGTAATATTTCAATTTGAGGTAATAAATGATATTTGGCTTGATAAACTGAAACACAAAGATTTAATACTGGTTGATTGTCTTCAACTTGTGTTAAAAATTTATGTCTTTTAAGTTGAGTTATTGTTGCTCTTTGTCTACTATTTTTAATAAGACATAACGCAACAAAATTCATTATTTCTTCACTATTTTCTTCTTTATTTTTAAAAGTAGGTGGTGGATGTTTTTTAATTAATTCAAGTATTCTCATTGTAGTTAAATCTTCATATGGTGGTTTTCTTTCTCTTAATTCTAATATGGTAATTCCTAATGACCAAATATCACTTTTTGTAGTAAATGGTTTCTTAAAAACAACTTCTGGTGCCATGTATGGTGCTGAACCATACCATTTATCTTCACATAAATCATTTACATGTTTACTAATACCAAAGTCAGTAAGTTTCACTTCACAATCATCACTAATTAATATATTTGCAGGTTTAATATCTAAATGAATAATATTTGCATTGTGTAATGCTTCTAATCCATTAACAACTCCTTTAATAATACATGCAATTGCTTGTTCAGGTAAAGGTGTATTTAACGTTTTAATAATATCCTTTAAACTACCAGCATTACAAAGTTCCATAATAATCCAAACATTATCTTTTTCTGTATATGTTCCTAAATAACTTAATATATTAGGATGTTTCATTTGTTTAAATGTAATAATTTCTTTTTGAATTGATTCACTTGATGATTTATTTAATTTAATAATTTTTGCAGCAGAAATAAATCTCATTGATTTATGTCTAACCTTCCAAACTTCTCCAAATCCTCCTGCTCCTATAAGAGATATTTTTTCAAATACATTTTCCCCAGTCCAATTACCATCAATATCCATATAAGTTGTTTTTCTAGTATTTACAGTAATCATTTTTCTATGTGATTTTCTAGTCGAAGGTACTAAGTTATTTGATGATGTTGGTACATTTGACATGAATGACAATCTTTTATTTGTTATCTTGTAATTTTTTTTTAATGAAAACAAAAAAATAATAAAAACAAAATTTTCATAAGAAGGTTTTAAGAGTAAATTTTAATTAAACTACTCCTGAATTTTTTTTCTTTGCATCAGAAACAAAATCCCGAATTTTTTGTTCATTTTTAAGAGAACAAATCAACAAAGCATCTTCAGTGTCTGCAATAATATAATCATTTAACCCTTCTACAACAACATATTTATTTGAATTTTTATGAACAATACAATTATGACAATTATATAATTCACTTCCATCAGAAACATTTTGTTGATCATCTTTTTGTTGTAAAGTATGTAATGATCCCCAAGTACCAACATCAGACCATCCAAATTCAGAACAAATTACTGTTACATCATTACTTTTTTCCATTACAGCATAATCAATAGAGATACTAGAACATTTTTCGTATGCATTATTAGCTGAAGCAACTTCATCAGGAGTATTAAATTTATCTTTAATATCTTCAAAATATTGTTCAACTGTTGGAGCAAATTGTTTGAGTTGATTAATTATTGTTTTTGCAGTCCATAAGAAAATACCTGCATTCCAAGCATAATTACCTGAAGCAAGATATTCAAGTGCTTTGTCCATAGATGGTTTTTCAACAAATTTATATACTTCGCTAATATTTCCTTCAATAAATTGGTTATTATTATAATTAATATAACCATATCCCGTTTCAGGTCTTGTTGGTGTCATACCTAAAGTCATTAATTTATTTGGATGGGTTTCAATAAAAGAAAAAGCTTCATGTACAACTTTTATAAATTTTTTTACATCTATTATTAAATGATCACTTGGTGCAACTATCATAATTCCTTCTGGATCACGTGAATATATCCAATGACTTGCATAAGCAACACATGGAGCAGTATTTCTTCTATATGGTTCACAAAGAATATTTTCTACTGGAATTTCTGGTAATTGCTCTTGAACTAATTCTCGGTATTGAATTGATGTAACAACGATGAAATTTTTTACAGGAATAATAGAAGACAATCTATCAAATGTCATTTGAATAAATGTTCTTCCAACATGCATGATATCTAAAAATTGTTTTGGTTTACTTTCTCTTGAAAGGGGCCAAAAACGAGCACCAACCCCTCCTGCCATAATCACACAATAACGATGTTCCATTGAAACTAAAGATCTATAAAATTAATATCTAGTTAACATTCTATTTTTATATTCAATATTTGAAATACAAAATAATTTTCTCAGTTTTTCGCAAAAAAATTTATAATAAAAAAAGGAATTAAATTAGTAATACTATACACAATATCCACCATAATAATAGAAAATTTTTTTCTAAACTGATGAAAAACAATGCTAAGAATCAAAAGGTTGACAAGGATATCTGAATGAAGTGAGAATAGAAAATATTCTTGGGTTTGATGGAATAAACATAGAAAGAGGAGAGCGAAAGGCGCTAAGAGAAATTTGTAAATTTGCAAGAGTTACAACATTAGAAGAAAGTCCACTATATTTACTTTGTATCTTAAGTATTAATTCTCGAAGATTATTTTCTTCTTCTTTAATAGTTATTTCATGTCCACTAGGAGTAATAATTGAATCCCAAACGTAAAAATGAATGACTTTTAAAGATTCTTTAATTGTAGTTATTCCGAGTTGAAGAGAATATCCTCGATCAATTAACAACCATGCTAACGCATTTGAAAAAGATGCTTCTCTATTACGACATTCATTAATTTGCGATGACTTAACACTTTGTTCTATTGCTTTTAAATGTAATTCTTTTTCATTATAAATACTAACCATTGATTTGTCTATTTTGATACTTCTTTCTTTCTTTCTTTTTGCTTTATTCACATGGGATTGAATGTTAAAACATAATAACGTTGACATTTTAGTGAAAGAATCAGATTCATAACGTTGGTTTGAAATAGTAAGACTTCTTCCCACTAATACTTTTAACGCATAATTACTTTGTTTTGAACGGAAAAATGTCATTTGCCCACCTTCTTTCAATATAAAATAAACAAGAAGTGCATCTGAAAGAGCTTTTTTAGACCGCGATAAAGCCCTACTCATTGTGTTATTCATTGTTAACAACGAGTCTAAATTTCTTTTTTAAGTTTAGTTTCTTTTTTTTGTTTCAAAAAAATTGTCCCATGACATTGTTTATTCAATAAGAATAATCAAAACAGTATATTGCCTAGATATAGAAAATGTTTATTTCATAACCTAAAACAACACAAAAGTATTATTATTATTTTTATTTTTCATATGAAACCATTTTAAGTATCTGAAATGTAGTTTTATTGATTAACTCAAATCATAACTTTATAATTAACTGATATTTGGGGTTATTTTCATTTAACGGTTAAATTCAATATTTTGAATGTTGGGTGTTATTTCCTAATGGAATTGAAAATTAGAAATCAATCGAAATATTTTCGGATATTTTAATTAGATAGTTAATTTAAGTTATTTAAGAGAAATAATTTATCATTATTCTTTCAGGATATATATTAAGAAGAGAAAAGAATTTAAATTAAATTTTACCTTCAAAAAATATTCCACTTAAATATTTTAAATTTAAGTTAGTGACTTTTTTTTGGTTTTGATAAGCAGACTTTCATTAAATGAAAGAGATAAAAATAAGAACAGAAAAACAAAAAAATAATACATATGAATAATAGTACTGACACAAATGATATAGTCAGCCAAAAGAATGAATTGACAGGAATTATTATTGAAGATGAGACCGAACAACTTCCATTTGGACTGATGAAATTTCTTTCTAAAGTTGAAGAAATTAAACATCAACTTATGTGTATTGAAAACAATAATGAATTAATGAAAATTAAGTATGAACGAATAACAAAACAAATGAAAGTGTCTGACGTTAGTAGTTTGTTTATTTTTATTTTATTTGTAATTCAATAAGTTCATTATAAAAGAAGATTGTGAAGAACTAAAATTATTAATACAAAAAATATGTTCAGATGCATTAAGAATAGAGAAGGAATTAGCAGAATGTAAACAAGAAAATGATAGTATTAAAAAAGATATTGAATCAAATTCAATCCATCAGGTAGGAGAGAGTGAGTTAAGAATCAGAGAAAATCATATATCTTTCCTTTCCATGAAATTTGTCGTAACAATGAAAAAATCTAGAATACTTCAAGAAAAAATTAAAGAAGGATTAATAAAGAATTACCAGAAACAAGTAAAACTTAGTTTGCATGTTATAACATTTTCATGTAATTCTAATTTTAATAAAACTAATTTTTTTTAGTTGGTACAAGCAATCTTCCTCCAGAACTTCAAACATTAAATATTAAAGAAGAAAAAAGATTTCATCACCAAATGAAACTAAAGAAAGAGTCTTCAAAACGTATTAATAAAATACAGTCCATTAATAGTTTGGCATACGTTAAATCAAAGCATGACGAAATCATAACTATCATAAGAAGTATTGATGAATTAGCTCAAACATTTGTTGATGCTGCGATATTAGTTGAAATGCAAGGTGAAATGATTAATAATATTTGTGATAATTGTGAACAAGCAAAGGAGTATACTACAGAAGCATTAATCAATATTAATAAAGCAAAAAGACTCAGAAAGCCAAATCGTTTTGTTTGTTTTTTTTTTGTTCCTATTGTATAATTAATAAAGGTATAATTAATTTCATAGAAAAAGTGGTCAATTTTAATTTGTATTTGTCTTATAATTGTAATATTTCTTGTTGTTGTAGGAAGTATACTTCTTCCAATTATTATTAAATCAGCAGAATTTGCACTTGTCTAATTAATTTGTTTTTATATTTGTTGTATTAAAAATAAAAATAAAACACTAAAGAAAGTTATTACTACAATATTTGTGGATAAGGAGTATGTTGTGTGTTTATTCCTGATCTTTTTTGAGGGATAGGAGGCAAAGACCTTCCAATTGAATTCTCTGATTTAGTTAAAATTGGTTGATGATGTTGAGGAGGACTTCGTGAAGGAGTTTGGGGGAGAGGTCGATGTATGGGTTGAGGTATTGGAGTATTAATATTATCACTTTGAATAGGTTTTGCAGGAAGTGGTGGTTTTGAAGGTAAAGGTCGTAAGGTTTGAGTTGCATTTGGTGAGTGACTTGGAGATATAAAGATGGATTGGGTAGATGCTGACTTTTGTTGAACTGATTGCCCAAATAATATTCTTTGTTTAGGGACTGGTGGAGGGGCATGTTTTGGAACTTGAGCTGAAACAGTATTAGATGTAGGTGGAGGTTGAGAATGAGATTGTTTAGGTTGTGATTGAGGAATAGAGGATTTTCTTGGAATAGAAAGGAATTTTTTTTCAGGCTCATGAGTTTGAGGGAGTTGCATTGTTTTAAAGGAATTATCATGAACAATATCAAATACCTCTTTATAATTTTCAATTAAAAACCTAGTACAAGCAAAACACGCACTATTATTTGAAGAAAGTAAATTAACAACGTCAATACCAGTAAATATATTTACACCAAAAACTGAAAAGTTAGAGAGTTATTATTATTTAAATCAAGAAGTATTAAAAACAAACTGACAGAAATATTTGATACATTCATTTTATTAATGGCTGATGCATCAGCAATTAATCTGAGATAATGAATTAATAATTTTAAAGTTTCATAATAAATACTAAATGAAGATTAATATAAGTATTAATAATATAATATGAAATACAAACTCTGGAAGAAATGATAATATATTTTGAATATTTTTAATTTTTGTTGGATAGAATTTATCATCCATTTGAACTGTAGCAATTATCATATCAGTCTAAAGAATGGGTCTAACTAATAAAAAACAAAATATTTAAAACAAACATTTTCATGGGTAACTAATGAGTCTGGTAATTCTCTAAAAAATGCCTTTAAAACAGCTGCCACTGTGTGGATATCATATTTAGACAAATCAACTGTTTCTCCGTTATCATATTTTGCTTTAATAATATTAATGTCATTTAATTTTCCAGATATTCTAAATATTCCTTCAGCTTCTATTCGGGATTGTTTTTCAGTTAGATAACTAATAAGTTCATAGACAGGATACGGAACACCATTACATGTTGGCACATTTTCGAGTAATACACCAAAAACTTTTCCCATTAATTATTACAAGTTCATTTTCTTTTAATTAAAAAAATTAATAAAAAAAAAAACAAAAAAGAAAAGGAAAAAACTAAAAAACCCCGATTAGAAGGAATGGAGGAGTGTGAAATTAATGGATTTGGTCCTTTTGAAAAAGAAATCACAAAAAAAATGGAAGAGTATAATTCTATTGATGACTCAAAGATAGGTAGTATTGATCAAACAGTTTCCATTCCAATTCATAAAATTACATGTTTGTAATTCAACTTCATAGTTATATAATAATTTTAATAAAATTTATTAATGAATAGTTATGTCTAATAAAAATTATTTGGATATGATGAGGGTTGTATTACTTTATTTAAATGAATGTACAACTCTTTCTTCTAAAAAGTGTAATGAGTTATTACAATCCCTTCATCTTTCAGTTGTATTATTACCATTATTATTTACCAATGATGAACTTAATAAAAATATTAATATGTTAATAAGACTTTATGATTATGATAATGAAATTATCTCTTATTATCCTTCAGAAGCAGTCGTTCCAATTATTTTACGGTCATTTGATAAGACTACTTTCATCTCGGAATTACTTGAAAATAAATCACTTTCAAAAGAACAAACTTGTTTATTACTTAAAGACAAACCAAGACAATGTATGTCTTTTATTGATAAATTACCATATGTTCATTGTTCAACAGAATTTTTTAATAGTCTTAGTGAATCAAGATTTATAGAAATTTTCTTTAAATTGTATACTGCTTACTGCCAATTTGGTGAGCTTAATAGAAGAAGTAATACTCCAATTCAAACACATTTATTTGATAATATGGTTTGTAAATTATCAATAAAAAATAGGATAGAATTATTTGAACAATTACCAGAAACCCCAATTGAAAACACAGAATTAATGATAAGACGTATTTTTAAGAAGATAGGTACGGAAGCTTCAGAAGAGCAACAACAAGAAATGGAACAGGTATTACACTGTGGACCAAAAGAGATTATAAATTATTTTTTAGAAACTATTATAGCATATCCTAATTTTATTACTACTATAGTAAAAGTTGTTTCAAAGATAGATAAATGGGAAATTAGTTTAATGAACTCAATTGTTTGTAAACGACTTCATGAATTAAATAATGAAATCATTGAAAATTTAGAACGAAAAAAACGATTTGATAGTAATGATAGTGAAATTGCAAAAACATTTTCAGAAAGATGTGGAAATGAAATTGAAAAAGGAAGAAATGTTGAAATGGTTTTATTTTCTTATCTTGGAGGAATATGTGAATTTGAAGAAGATACATTTAAATGGATTAAAATTATATTTGAACAGAATGGGTTTGGAGAATGGGTTTATCATATGTTAAGTGAAATTATACGTTTATGTGAACGATCTAAATGGGTTAACAATTTTGTACAAGAAAAAATTCTTATTGAATTGATTGGTGTGATGGAGATTGAACGAATGAAATATGAAAAAGATGAGTGGTATGATTGTTGGAGTAAAATGGAAAGAAAGTTGATTAAAGGACTAGACTTATTAAGTGAAAAGAATGAACAAATAATCTTTGATGACATTAAGAAATATTGTAGAAAGATGAAACCAGAAGTTATGTGGGAAATTATAAGAAGACTTGAAAAGAAAGGTATGAAGAAAGGTATTAAACCAATCATGGAAAAACAACAAGGAGTTGATGAATATGAAAATAATGAAAGAATAGTTGTTTGGGAACATTTCTTTAGTATTGATAATGATATATTAGGAGTAGAACCAACAGAACTTGAAGCTATAAGAAAATTACAACATGAATGTGATCAAAGGAAAGGGATGAAAGAAGAAGAATTAAAAAAACAATTTTCAATTGCAATAAGTAAACTTGAAAAAAGAGAGAGAATAAACCTAGAACATTTTAGTGCTATTCGAACACAAATCACTAAAAGAAAAGAATTTAATGTACAACATTGCATAGAGGCAATGAGAATGAGAGTAGATTGGTTTTTCAAAGAATGTATTTTTAAAAGAGTAAATATTAGTGGGAGTGAGGCATTGATTACAGCTAAAATTATTGAAATGATGATAGAAAAGAATGTGATGTATGTCAATGGATTTTTATTAATTGATAAATGTATTGATAATTTCTTTGGCATAGCCTCTATTGTATCTTTAAGAGAAGCTAGGTTTTGGGGAATATTTATTGGTGATTTAATGAGCTTTATGCAATCACAAGTCGATACCTTCGATCAAACAGAAGAACAAAGAAAGATAAATTGGCACTACTCAATGGAAAAATTACTTACTAAAGAAAATTTCTTATTCCTGCAAAATGACTGGAATACAAAAATAAACCAAGTCATTCTCTGTTTACTAACCCAAACTAATACTTATTTCACTAAAATAGGACTTCAACTCTTTGTTGGAAGCTCTCGTGGAATCAAAACCTGTTCAGAAATTACAAATACTTTGGATCAACTTATCAAACACCCTGACAGCAAAATAAGAAAATTAACTAATACTGCTTTTGATTCTTTAAAATAATTTACTTTTTGAACATTCTTTATTTCTTAATTTTTTTTAATAATAAATTAAAAGTAAAAAAAAAAAAAAACAAAAATAGATAAAACCATTTAACTCATTTAATCAACTTCTTCAATAGTTGGTCCTTTTCCACTTGACTTTGGTTGAGCATTACCTTGTGGAGCAGCTCCAGCACCTGGGAATCCATTTGGCATTCCTCCTGGCATTCCACCAGCAGCTCCAGCTTGTTGATAAAGCTTAGTGAAAATTGGTTGGACTTTTCCTTCAACTTCCTTCATCTTGTTATCATATTCTTCAGTGGAAGCATTTTGATTGTTATCAATCCAGTCAAGAGTTTCTTTAACAATATTCTCAATAGTAGTCTTATCTTCTGCAGCAATCTTATCAGCAAATTGTTCATTAAGAGTATTCTTAACTGAATAACAGAAGTTCTCTAACTTATTCTTTGCTTCGACTCTTTGTTTCATCTTGTCATCTTCTTCCTTGAATTTTTCAGCTTCTGCTACCATCTTATCAATTTGTTCTTTACTTAATCTTCCTTTATCATTTGT